TTTGGATAGCGGTTAGACTAAAAGCAGTTACCATGGTGTACATGGGCTCCAGAATCCAATCGGATTAAATGGCGTACGAACCCATATGGGTCACCGGCAACCATGGGAACGCAGCACCTGACGCTGCTCCGCTGCCTTGCGGATTGGACTCCAAGTCAAAGGCTCGGGGGGTGGTCCCTTAATAAAACCACCTGCTTCGGTCTGGGCGCCCGGGCAGTATCTCAGCCCGCACACAATGAATGAATTGAAGCAACGAACTCTCATTGAAACTCAACGCGCGCTAGTAAAAATGATTCCAAGCAATACTGATCCCTCAAGCAACTTATTTCCTTCCTATCTTACTTTTATTTTTACACATAGTTTCCTGTATTTTACCTTTTCTAACCTTGGCTTCTTAACCTTCGACAGCCTTTCGCCTTTGTCGAGATTCCCAGCCTATCCGTGTCGTTTCGAGATGTTAGTGAGTAGTCCTCAAAATGGTTGTTCCCAATGTGACTTCTAACACAGATATCCTGAAACCGCGTGCTGCGTTCAAGCTGGCTACCTACAATGTTCGGACGCTGATGCAAATCGGACAACAGGCAGGGTTGGCAAGAACTTTGGAAAGCCTCGCTATCGATGTCTGCTGCATTTCGGAGACCCGCATTCAAGATCCCAGTGAAGTGCTTCGACTGTCCTCTCCATCTGGAAGTTCTAGTAGTATGTACCACCTGCGCTTATCCGGGGACCCTGTGGCATCAGCATCCGGCGTAGCTGGTGTCGGTGTCGCACTGAGCGCTAGAGCCGAAGCTGCACTGCTCGACTGGATTCCCACTAACAGTCGTTTATGTGCTGTGAGGCTGGAAGGATATACGAAAGTAAGGAGTAGTAGACCAGATAGGCGGTGTCTATTTGTTGTCTCTGCCTATGCACCGACGGATTGCAGCCCGGATGCAATGAAGGATGAGTTTTACTACCAACTGAGCGATCTGTTGAAACAGGCGGGTCGGAGGGATATCGTAGTGCTAGCTGGGGACTTAAACGCACAGGTCGGGCGTCTAAGCTCAGAGGAGAGTCGTCTAGGTGGTCAGTGGGGACTACATGGTCGCAGGTCAGATAATGGGGACCGTCTTCTGCAGCTTTGCGCGGATCACAACCTATTTCTAGCCAGCACCAACTTCCGGCACAGCCATCGCCGTAGCGCTACCTGGCGTCCTCCCTCTGCGAAGCAAGTTTGGACTCAGATTGATCATATTGCGGTCAGTTTCCGGTGGCGAGGATGCATACAAGACTGTCGCTCCTTCTGGAGCACATGTCTGGACTCCGATCATGCGTTAGTGTGTGCCAAGTTCGTCTTGCGATTTGGTGGGGTTCGTAAAAACCGTCGTCTAAGCGTTGATGTGAGCAAACTAGCAGCACCTGCTACTTCTTTGAAATATCAGAACGAGTCCAAAACAATGCTTGCCAGCAACCCCCCAAGTAGTATAGATGAACACTGGCTTCATGTGCAAGGTGCCATGCAAAAGGCGAGTGTAGCCGCTTGCGGCTTGAAAGAATGCTCCGCTAACAACCACTGGGTTTCTGCGAGTTCCTTGCAACTCATGGATGAACGCCGGTCCATTCCGGCTGGCAGTGAATACAACAATCAGCGAAAGGCGCTCACGCGCAAGATTAGACAGTGTTTACGTAAGGACCGCGAAGCCTGGTGGTCAGAACGTGCGTATGAGATGGAGTCAGCTGCTGCATCTGGCAACAGTCGGAAGCTGTTCCAACTCATACGAGCCACCGGCAGCAAGAAACAAGGTGTCAGCGAGACGGTCTGTGAGGCAGATGGCACTCCAATTACCAGCCTGAAGAGACGCCTGGAACGCTGGGCAGAGCACTTCGGGAAGCAGTTCAGCTGACCACCAGCTTCATTGTCTACTATCATTAGCCCGAGTGCTCCTTGGTCGGTTAGTACCGATCCACCCACCGAAGCGGAGGTCCGTAAGGAACTCCAAGTTCTGAAACGCCATAAGGCGCCCGGCCCAGTTAAATTACCCCCGGCTCTTTTTAAAGATGGTGGCGAGACTCTCATAATGGCTCTAACTGGGTTGTTCAGGAGGGTGTGGGAGACAGAGAGTGTACCATCAATGTGGAACGAAGCCATTATCGTCCCCATCTTTAAAAAGGGTCGACGTAATTCGTGTGACAGCCATACGAGTATCGGTCTGTTACCAGTCGCGTCTAAATTATTGGCTGCTGTCTTGCTTCACAGGCTGTGCAAAATACGTGAAGGATTGATTCGCGAAGAGCAGGCTGGGTTTCGTTCAGGTCGTGGATGCATTGATCATGTGTTCACCCTTCGTCAGTTGTTAGAACACCGCCACACGTATTGCAGGCCAACGATCGTTGTGTTTCTTGATATTAGGACTGCCTTCGATTCGTTGGACAGAACTGTGCTCTGGAACTGTCTGTTAGAGAGAGGTGTACCTGAGAAATTTGTTAACATCTTGAAAGCCCTATACAGAAACACCTCAGGTAGAGTGAGGACATACAACCAACTATCATCACTGTTCCCAACCAACAGTGGGGTTAGACAGGGTTGCCCGATCTCTCCATTTCTCTTTAACTTTGCCATCGATGACATTCTGGAGTCAGCTCTGAAGGATGTGCGTGAAGGTGGTGTAGATCTGCTACCTGGAGATAGACTTTTCGACCTCGAGTATGCAGAGGATATCGTCTTACTGTGCGATAGCATGCAGGCTGCCCAAATCGCACTTAATCAGTTGGCGATCAGTGTCTGTAAGTATGCTATGTGCTTTGCACCGTCTAAGTGCAAAGTACTGTTACAAGATTGGCGGGAGCCTGTACCTGCACTCACTCTTGCGGGTGAACCGCTTGAAGTTGTCGATAAGTTTGTGTACCTAGGTAGTTGTGTGAGTGCTGGCGGAGGGGTGACGGATGAGATTTCCAACCGTATAATGAAAGCTAGGGTGGCATACATCAACTTGAGCCACCTCTGGCGCCGTCGCGACGTTAGCCTGGCTGTCAAAGGTCGGGTATACAATGCTTCGGTGCGGGCTGCGCTGCTCTACGCCTGTGAAACCTGGCCTCTCCGAGCTGAAGATGTGAGGCGACTCTGCGTGTTCGATCACCGCTGTCTCCGCAGGATTGCCTGCGTTCGATGGCATCATCGCGTGAGTAATTCTGAGGTTCGGCGGCGTGTGTTTGAACACAGTGGAAATCACCATTCATTGAATGTCGTCATCTGGAAACACCGGCTCCGGTGGCTTGGACATGTGCTGCGAATGTCACCCCAGAGGCTTCCGTACAGGTCTCTGTTCGCTAGCCCTGGGACGGGATGGAAAAGGCGGAGAGGTGGTCAGCCCATGACGTGGCGTCGTGGGATGAAGGATTTCTGTGCTAGATTAGCATCGGTTGGTGTGTCACGACTCCCTGGTTGGAGTCTGAGAGACAGCTCAAATCGATGGCTCGAAACGTTATCGGATATGGCCAAGAATCGTAATCAATGGCGAATGTGTTGCGATTTCCTTCTTTCTTCCATTCCCGATGATAGTTAACGAACACTGTTTGAACCTGTTAAGAATGAGTGTTTTCCTTCCAGATGAAGTTCTTTATTCGTTCTCTACTTATATATATTTTTTCTTTTCCTGCCTTCCTTCCTTTTTTTCATCTATGTTGTTTTATTATTATTGTGTGGCGCATCCTTCTTGGTGCCATATTGTACCAAGTTTTAATGCGTTTAAATAAATAAATAAATAAACAGCGTCATCATGAAGACTTTCGTTCAGGCGACTTCTACTTGAAATTTCCGGAGCTCACTGGAATTAGTTTCTTTGCTGTGACTAGTTTGAGTGAAACAGCGGAAATCCATTGTTATTTATTAACTTTGGCTGAATACTATCAATTGTCTTCATTGTTTTTTCCAGAGTACAGACCAAATATGATGCTAGGCCTCCTCAGAATAAGTATTGTTATTATATTCCCTATATGTAGGTCCCATGTTCTCACTAAAATGCTGAACATGAAATGACTTGTATTCTACATGTGTTTAGTCTCTGGCATGTGCAAACACATACTAATGCGTTATCTGAGCCGTGCAGGAATTCTAGGTAGAGTAACTATCTTCCATTGGCTCAGTTCACCAATATTTTGCATCTAAGTAGTCTTTTTTCATCCTTTACCATCTTTATTTTAGAAGTCAGCAGGTGAGGTAATACCTCTCATTATTTGGAAATTAGCACTGATCACGAACAGGTTTTCATCTGAATAGATAAAAGATGGTCACTGTTTTCATTTCGTCAGGATGTGACAACAAAGATACAACCAGTGGTTTTTAAAATGCCAAAATGAATGTATCTGAGCTTGTGATTTTTGCAGCGAAATAAACAGCTTTTGATAGGATTCATGCTTTTTCCGTCCTAATGCAGTCAGTTGATGTTTAAGCGGATAATATGAAAAGGCATCTATCATCACCACTATCAGTACTTATTCCGCCTGACGGCACACATACAACTGTCCATTGAAAGGTAATCCAGTAGTGAGTTTTCTTCGGTAGCTCTCAAAACTATTTATACATCATTAGGTTTTTGCGAACTAATACCTGTAGGTTGAACTGACGACGTTAGTCAGTTGAGGTTAGGCCAGCAACGTCGCTTGGGTCTTGTATAAGTTCCCCAAGAAACATCAAATACATAATACTTCAAGTTTCTAGAGAATGATAGATATTTGTGTTGTCCAGATTTAGAACATGTTATAGGACATGTTATCTGAACAAGATCTTGCATTATCACAATTTAGGTATAATTATTCACTCAGGGTAACTATTCAAATTTCTCATTTCTCAAGTGTTTTGAATTGCTGTGTGTCACAACAATATAATGCCAATAAGTATGCATTTTCAATTCATAAGGCTTGTCTCCGATAATACTGTTCGACATTTATCCTTTTGTTTTTTGGTTCAGAAGAAAATACCTAAATTTATTCACAACACGGTTTTATAAACTTTACATATGTATATTTAAAAAGTTTTTAGCTCCATAGAATTGAGTCAAAGTATGAAAATGCGTATTCACCTTTGATAAATGTACTCTTTTTTAAAAGCAATCATTCTTTTATTCTGCGACACTCATTGGAAAATACAACATACATTGTGGAAACTCTTTGTTCTTTGACCTTCTTCGATACTATGCTTCAAAAATATCCTTGTCCAATTCTCTGACAATGTACGACCTACCAAATGAATTATCATCTGAGTGAATTTAACTATACTTACATGCATAGTTTTACCGTCTGCTCTTGAACTTTTATACGAAAGTTATTCAGTAATTCTGACCAGTTCAACTGTTCGAAAGCTTCTATCCTAAATTACATAATGGAGGAGTGGTTAAAGTGTGTTCAACTAATATTCTTAGGATATTATCACCATTCTAGAAAATTATAATTTCAGCACAAAAATGAGAAAATGTGTGTGTATGCTTTGAATGAAATTAAATAAGTGATGCACTTCTGTTAAGAAATAAATCTGAAATCTGGAAGAAATCAACAAGTAAAACTGTGCATGGTATTATGGTTTCAGCTTCATTTGCAAGCTGTTGATGTTAACAACACAACAGGATGTATGTAGACAGATTTAATGGCATAGTATCTAGCGAAAAAGTGCATCAGACATGAATCTTTCAGTAGTATTCATTTAGAAATGGTTTTCATTTTCAGAAGCTATGGAATAAGAGTAAAAGCCAATAGGTCGAAATCAATCATAATAAGTGTGTTGAGGTCATTTTCTGGTAGCAACTAGCTTGCTGCATACAGCCATTTGGTGATTATTTACACGAGTTTGTTTCACAAGATGAAGGTGAAGTTTTTGGTGAACTTTTTCCTAGTTACCAGAAATGCGACTGCATACTGATTAGTACTAATTCATTGGCTACGTAACAACTTTTCCATTATCCTTGACAGACGATTTGTCATCTGTTAAACAATTTATAAACTTAAATAGCCTATTCTGGAATTTTCTAAATAAATAGCAATTTATTAACTGCAAAAAAGACTATCTGTATTGGGGAAACATTTCCTTGTATTTTGACTCGAGTTCACTATGAGCCTATGTACGTAACAGAGACTTTGTGGGGAGTTATCAAGTGAGCGGAATCTCAGCATGTGTGTTCGGTAAGTTAACTCGTATCCATCAAATAAATTCAGTCGGATATATCAAAGTAATAAAACAATTCAGAGGTCACAACAACTAGGTTTAGATCGAAATTCATCAGTGGAACTGACGGTAGTCTACTGTTTGTAAACTTTCTTTTTCATTCCAAGAGTAACGTAGGGCTTTAAGCTTGAGGCTTCGTTAGCGATGTTGTTGTTTTTAAAAAGAGGAAGTTGTCAGCCTCACGCCCAACTTTCCCTCTTTCCCGGGATTACTATGAGTTGTGAACTAGATGAAGTTTAGCACTGCCTCAGCAGGGAATAGAACCCGAACCACCTACATGATAGACAAGCATTCTACCAATGAAACTTCGGTTACTGCTAAATATTTTTGGTTGTTTGGTTTATGGGGATATGAATGAGTTCAACGTAGATGTGATTCAGTTGTTATGTTTTTATACAAGGATTTTCTTAAGTGCACACTCATGATCCAGGAAGAGATTGATCCCAAAACCCTCGTCATACTGCAGGGCAAGAAATTCAACATTCAGTCACTGTAATGATTTCCAATATTTTATTTTTTTACTCCAATTAATCCTTAATAAAACGCCACCGCAAACCAGTGTCATTCAAAGACTTCACACAACACTATAACTTTTGGAAATCCGTCACGAAGCTGATCTCTAGCTGCTTAGTGTTCATAAAAACGTCGCCTTCAAATCCCTAATACTTAGATAGGAGTCAGTCTAACGGGAAAACTTAAGGGGCGATGTGGCTAAAAATCGTTAACCATGGCTCACGTGTGTTTTTCATCCAGTCTTGAAAACGTCACTAGTCTTCATTCACATACTCTCCTTATCGTACTGACAGTTGTCGGTTTTATTATTATTAAATCTGTGTTTCTTTGTTTTTAACAGTTTGATGAAGTATAGCAACTTGAACTATTGCACTTCTATGTAAAATTAAAAATTCATTCCTCGATCAACTGTACATTCAGGGTTTTGTAGCATTTACTTAGAACGTCAAACTTTTCTTCGCCTATATATCACTCACTACTAAACAGTGAAATGAATTGTGCGATTTGCTTTCTCCATAGGTAAAAATGAACATATTTTCATATGTAACATATCAGTTTAACACTCAAATCGCATTACTAGAAATTAGACTTTGGAAAAATGATTGAAATTGGTGAGTACCAATTTTTGTTGCTGCATCTTATCACTACAAAACCGACTCATGGTTACTCAGTGGGAAAGATTTGATGGTTCTCATCACTGATCAGAAAGGTCTGCGTTACACTATCAATATCATCAAAGTTGAGACTAAGTGTAGAACTCACCTTTCTTCTAAAACTTTGAGCTGGTCTGTTAAGTGATCCAATTCATTCTCCATTTTCCTCATAAATGCTTGTAAGTTATTCGCTTCATTGAAATGGTTTATAGTCAAAGAAGACTCTTCCTGCATTGAGTCCGACAACTTAATTACGTCTTGTTTCAAGTCAGTAATGTTGTATGGTGCCTGAAAATAATGAAAAACAAATCACAGTGTTAGTTTGCTAGCCATTATATCTCGGTTAAATAGTGGCAGATAAATTTCATATTATTACACTTTTATTAGCTTTTATTGGCTTTTGAAATTAAAAAATTTATATGAAGTCTAAATATCTTCAAACGAAATAAGTAATTAAGAAGTGACAGAATCTAGGGGTCGCAGTGGTTTTAAATGAGTTATCGTTATATGAAGACAGTGAAGCACCAGACACAATGTCAGGTTTTTGTAAATATAGGGATATAAACTGAGAGACACTGAATGCATGCTTACTAAATCACTACCTTTAAAAACACAATAGATTTTAGCAACACTTCAGTCACTTGGATGACAAAAGAATTAAGCGAAGAAATATTTACTTTTCAGTTACATCCTGATCTATGGCTCTACTCCACTCTAATATATATATATATATATATATATATATTAGAATATTCGGATGAAATGTTCTACCGGAATTTGATGAATTAATTAAATCATGTCTTACTAACCTTTATTGCTTGTTTTAAACACTATTAAACAACCTAACTTAGCATGTTACGATAAATCTCACTAGTGAAAAATCATAAAAAATACTGTGTGCTGAGTGAAGTTTGGCGACTCGAACTGCTGCAAATCGGTGCAGAGTTCTATGTTGAAACCAGACAGAACAAAAATATTTTGTTTTAGTTTCTACGATGATTCACTGGACTTTATCATGGTACAAGATCCTTTTACTAAACTGAATGAATCGTTCACAGAGGAGTCAGGGAACGCAGTAAAATGGGGTATGTTCTTTTATCTTGTAAATATTTCTCGATAAACTATATCCCCAGTAATTGACTTAAAATCCTCACATACTGGCAAATTCATCAAAAAGTATTCCTGTAATTATATTCTAACATTTTTATTTCGCGGTTGTTTCACAGAGATATTTAAAATTAAGCCTAGTGTTTATATATTTGTCGGCACATAACCATCAACTATTTTGGTGAACAGCCTTTATAGTAATACTTTTCACAGGTGCTGTGAAGGTGCTGAAAATATTCATTATAATAAAGGTTTTTTTATTTCCCAATGAATGAAAAACAATATCGTTTTGTTTTTCATTCATTGGGAAATACAAAAAACCTTATTATAATGAATATCATATACCCAATGCCCAAATTTTTTCAAATTGTTAAAAGTGCTGAAAATAGCTTAAATTTTATGGAAGGGATATTCGCAGTTATCATCTTATCAGGCTCTCAGGTAGTCCGTGGCATTGCGTAATCTTATACAAATATCTATCATTTTTTAATCAATAACTTATCGTTAGGAAAATCTATTGATGACATTTCCATGTTATGTATCTGTTCAATGGGCATAAAATGCTTTGAAACAGACAATATATTTATTAATAGTATATAATGATTAGATATGACAGATAACTATTTGAGTCCCACACTAAGAACAGTAGGCGGTTATGATTTTTGAACGTAAACTTTTCTTCTTTGAGATCATATTTTGTGTTTCCTGTTAAACTGGATCTGCTGGGGTAGGCGCATCAGCAATAGTGAACATCAATAGCTCAATAGCATGATTTTATATAGATACATACTTTGTGACAGTGTCATGATTAAAAGATTTGGATATTTGCACATGCGGAAACTTCGCATCTAAAATCTTATGTGTGACGTTTAAAATGAAGATCCAGCAAGCTTACCACCTGTCATTACAATCTTAATTTAAATGTCAAAGAAGCTAGCATCGATTTATAGTCTGTTCATAGAAATACTATCAGGACGAACAACATTTCAAAGAATCTGTTGACAGAAGACCCTAACCCCAGTAAGTCGTTTCCTTGTGAAAACATATTTTCTCCACGACTGTTAATGTGCAGTGCATAATAACCTGTCTTTTGGAGCTCATTTGAAAAGACCTGAAGAATAACAGCCCCTTTTTCATTAGTGAACGCATTAGTTATGGCTACAACAGGTATAGGAAACCCGTCACTAGTGTGATTTGAATTTCAAAACTGATTTTGTTCATATGATTGCATTTTTGAATTGGTGAGTAAGAACCGTCGACCAAGAGCTAATTTTCTCTGTAAATAGAGGTGAGAATGGGATTTATTGACACCTGACTACAGTGTAATGTCAGCAGGTAAGTATCACAATAAATTATCAGTCCTTTTGAGAAAATAAAGCAGTGGTTTTGTTGGTATTATACTTACTCTTCCACAACTTATTTACATACCGGGCGTATCTAGATTCAAACTTGTGTTTCACTACCTATGAGGATAACTTGCACGTACGTTCTTGTGGACAGAGACCACAGTAACATATTCTGTAAAAATATATGTATTTATCTGTTTTTATGAAATCTTTACTTTAAACAGTAACTGTGGTTACTGTTTCCATTATTTATTACAAAATTTCAGATATGATCTGGGTGGTAAATGAAAGAGAATTATAGTGAAAACAATATTTTCTAAATCAAGTTTCTCTACCTCGTTTTTCCTGATCAGTACACTATAAAAGACATTGAACTTAACTGAAAATTGGTATATATTCAAGTGGGTCTACTAGGTCTTTGTGAAGAAAACGGGATAACTTCATGAAGGACACAATACTGTTGCGATTATTCCTTTCCCTTCTAGATGCTGTAGTTCATCTTTGATTACTGTTTGATAATGTGTCTAGATTGGTTTTCCATTATCGAAAAACCAAGTCATAGTGGATGTATAGTAACTACAAAGTTAGTCTGAACAACTTCAAATAGTCTATGAGTTTTGAAATAATAGAGAAGATTTGTAGCTCAGGTGGATGATTTGCAATTAATAGTGTTCTCTGAGCTAGTTGGTTTAGTTCCGGAGTTTGCCCAAAATACTGTAATTAAACAGATAGGCGCAAAATGATCATGACTAAATTCGAAGTAATATCTTTGCTACCACAGGATTTTAGTAAACACTTTCAAGAAAAATCTGTACAAAACTCCTTAATGGGCTTCACAAAGCCTTTTTATAAATTATCTGGTGTCAGTACAACGACGTTTTAGTCACTGTTTTCTTTCACATATCATCACTACTAATTACCGACTAGTTCCATTATGGATAAAATTTATTTTGATAAAGTCTCGCAGTGTTATACAGTAATATTTACTGAGGACGTTTCGAGCACAATTTATTGCTCATAATCATATCAAGTTCTCGATATTACTGTATAACACTGTGAGACTTTGTTGAAATAAATTTCACCCATGATGAGATTATACTCTACCATAGTGTACAAGTTATATTCTTAAATCACCAACTAGGTTTTTTCTGTCTTCAGACAAAAAACCTTTCAGTTTCAATACGACAAGTGCTAAATTAGAACCAACTGAAATCATGCAATAAACTAATACACATTAAACTCACCTCATAGGATTTATTTGCTTCACCCACGACCATGGGAGATTCACGAGAAATAGGATCTTGTTTTTGCACCCTGTGTTCTGGTATTTTGGGCTCCAGCCAGTCTAATAAAAATTTCAGCTCATTTCTTATTGTTTCTTGCCCTTGTTCTTCCATTCCTTTATTTAAAAAATCATAAATGAGGTACATTTACTCCATCAATCGAGTACTTTTAGTTCCAAACATTATATAAATTGTAGTAAATTTAGCACTGCATACTAACTGATTAAGTAGATATATGCATTTATATGTATATGGAGGAAAGACGACTTAATATTTCTATTTAAGGGTTCACATTGATATACTTTTTAATACCATATGAAGATGGAAATAGGCAAGCGGAAGGGAAGCATATATTAAATTTGTAAAATATAATGCGATGAACCTTCAGAATATAGATAAACTGAGTGTCTGCAGATGAGTTTTGAGAACAGAACTCATAAATTAATTCTCAGCAACCGCATTAATTTTGAGCATCTTACTGCCCAATTCAGTTCTATCCGCCTTTTTAAATAAAACACGTTCATTAAAATCTAGAACCAGCTTACAGACGATTCATGGAATTTTACTTTCACCAACCTAATCCTACTCCACATGACACAATATACTTCAGCATTTGGTATATAATTTTGTGTAAGACAATTCAGTGAATTGTTTTACACGAAACAGTGTGCTTTATCTTATTGTTATTCACATTTTCAGGTAATGATAACTAAAACACTACATTGGTTTCCCAGATAACCTTTGTCCGTACCTAGGCGTTACGAAAATGACTTGCGATTTCTACATTTGTATACTGGGCGACAATAAAGAAGTATTTGTGGTTGAAAACTTTACTATTAACTGTATACATTTTATGATAATTGAAAACAGAATAAGGAATGAAGAATGTCACACAAAACAGTATCTACAGTTGAATATTTTATTATTACCATGCGATTAGTTGTACGTCCACTGATATGTTTAATAGCACTGTATCAGTTTCTCTAGATTTATTTGTGACAATCAGGATATAGGTAAAACAAGTTAGTTTTATTAGCCTGATACTGAATAGCAGTGGAATCTAGGGCATTATTACTATTGTTCCCTTGGGTTCTAAGTGGAACATAAGGCTTCAACAACACGTATCCACTTTCTTCTATTTTCTGTTCTCCTCTTCAGCTGGGCCCACGATTTCCAACAATCTCTCATCCCCTCCTTTCATGATCTCCTTCATGTCACCCTCAGACTACCCACACGTCTTTTACCATATGGATCCCACTCAAGGTAATGCTTAGTGCGCGATGCCATACGACGGTCTTCACAACGTGAGTCCAATCCAACTCCATATTCTTCTGTAAATTTTTTGAGCAATCGGCTTTTGGTTGGTTTGTTGCGAGTTTCTTGTTGCTAATCCTTCCTGGCCATTTGATCTTCAGTATGGAGCCAGCTAAGGCAGCTGCTAGTGAAAGTCTGCTTTTCGTGTGTACCAAGTTTCTGACCCACATAGAAGAATTGACCGACTTAACAATGATGCTGAAAATCCAAATCTTGCTCTTTATGCTGAGTGAAGCAGAAAATTTTTAAACTGATTTCAAATTGATGGAAACGTATTTTGTCTTCCCGGTTCTGGCTTCTACATCTTCATCCGTTGCGCCTGTGGGTGAAACAGTGCTTTCCAGATAAGTGAAGGAAGTAACCTATGTCAAGTCCGTAACTTGTCAGAACTGCTTTTCGTGACACGCAGTGCAAGCTTCTGACCAGTATAGAAGGATCGACTTGACATCGGTGTTGAAAATGTGAATCTTGTTCCTTATGCTGAGTGCGAAAGATTTCCAAACAGGTTTCCGATTGATGAAGGCGTATCTTGCCTTTCCTATTCTGACTTTAACATCTTCGTCCGTTCCGCCTGTAGATGAAACGATACTTCCTGGACAGATAAGTAAAGGAGGCAAACTCTGTTAAATCTCTCCTGTTGATGGTGACTGATGCGGGTTGTTGCTGCTGTTGGTTATTTATCTTCATCACCTCAGTCTTTTCTATGTTTACCCGGAGTCCTGTTTTCGCTGCTTTTTCAACCCGTTGGTTGGTTTTTGCCTGTAGATATTCGAGTTTGTGTGATATTAAACATAAATCATTTGAGAAATCTAGGGCATACCTAGCTCTTTAACCAAATGTCATCGGCATCTCGTAAAGTGACAGAGCTCAGAGTCGGACAAAATTTTAAAGAAAATCCTGACTAACTTGGCTTATAAACATCAATGTTGAAGAACTACACGTACAAATAAAAATCGCTAAAACAGATATATGTTCAGAAACCTTATTGTCCAATTTATGATTACCTGATTCATGGGATCTGAGGGACTGTAGAAATTGTGTGTATAAAGCACAAAAGAAATGGGCTAAATCTTAATATGAACATGCGCCTTAATATTATATTCCTAAACTACTACTGTTAAAAAATACCTGGAAAGTCATGAATTTAGACGAATCTATAGTTGTTTAATTACGCCTAGGCACTACTGTGTCATGTCTATGTATTACATATTTATATTGTTTACAAAACTGGAGATATTAAGTAATTTAAAAAGGGTGAGTGTATATTTCTTTGAGTTGGACTTATTTGCTGCAAAACAGGGTTTACTATCGAACAATCAGAAGGTACTATTTCATAAATTACCGCTATTGAATTTCTACAAAAACTTACTTAGTGTACTTCTAATAAAAGTAGACCATTTTTAAGACATGAGATAAATAAATCGAATGCTACGTAGTTTTATTATTCCACATTATCACTGAGCTTTTTGCATGATACATCAATGTGTGTTACCGACTCAGCACACTGCAGAGGACTAAGATGAAATTCACAGAAGACTGTTTACAATATTTCTCTGAAAATAGTGAATTAAGGGATTAATTGTTCACGTGAATTTGAAAAATTTGGAAGACAAAATAAACAGCCGAAAGAGGTGATATCTGTTTACATATTTAACTTACTCAAAGTTTCTGTATTTCTTATTTTCATAAAGATGTCAACCTTAAAGAAGAAATAAAGAGATATTATTTGTTACCTGAGACTTCAGCAATTTTAAACTATTGCGTATAAGCAAAAATTGGTTTCTGAAAATATTAATTTATCGATAGCTTTTACTTTAGGAGACCGGTTTCCTTACTGAGCTTTGGAACTTCGTGGGAACCCATCACAGACGTGTTTACTGGACCACTTGAATCACTGAAAGACGTTTTGGGAACAATAATTTTCTACAAATTCGAAATTTATTTATTGTTACTTTGTTATAAAGAGATTCATTAGTTTTGAACCAAGGCTCAACTTTATTGCTTTCATCTTCTTTGCAATGCTCTTTTAAAAATTTGGAAAATCTATTCGAAAGTGGTGAAATGTCCCGAAACACTTGGCTAGATCTATTAACTGAAACAGAAATGTTCACACTATCCAAAGGCCTACGTATATCATCCTGAGAGTAGAATGACAAACTCATTGCGATTACTGAAAGGAGTTTTATTTGTCCGCTTTTTGTAATGTAGTTCGACAGATAAAAACAAACTAATAAAAACAAACTAAATTAAATCATTGGTGTTTTGTCTCAATTGTTGATTCCTTTCACTTTAAGTGATAAATCTTTATGACATTCTTTCATCGAAATCATCCCAGCCTATCTTGGCAGGATTGTAGAATGAGTTACTTCCGACATCCGTCACATTTAAAACCATGTTGTATAGAGGCAATGATTATCTAGCTGTCATTACTTCGCATCTTTCTACAGTTCTGCGCTTCTGAGGGATTCCAGTGCAGGAAGTCTCTCCACAAGCTGTTTTATCTTGATCGCAACCATTAGGAGGGGGGTGTTCACTTACCTTAAATGAGCAACTCCTCTTGGGTTATGCAAAGGAGTTAAATAGTGCCCTACCGTTAGTGTATTTATGTTCAGATTTTCGGTCGTATGCTGTTGTGGAATTGCCTGTGATTCTCTGACTGCTAGTCATATGCAGATCCAGCTTTCGAACTCGTCATCACAATCGGCTTTATAGTATAGTAATGGGTTTAGCAGAACATGCGTAATTTTCTAAAAACAGTTGAACTGCCAAATTAATCATAATAATGGTCACAGAGCTGATAATTCAAACTGTACATCTGGTAGGAATTCTGCATGGAGGGAGCACTGAGGTATTTCAAGTGACGAAATATACTGATGCATATATGAAATCATAATTTGTAGCCTCGGTATGTGAATAAAAGTTATAATAATAGTTAATTCTCACAAATTAGTCTCTACATGATAGCTTTAAGCTTAGCGGGATTATCATGTCAATAATGTGGATGATCCAAGAAATGCTTGGATTCATTTGACAGCCTTTTATTTCACCCTTGACAATCAGTTCCTTTGTCTGCTGATGAAAGCGCACTGTGAACAAAGAGACATTAAGGATAAAGAAAGCCTACTGGATGCATTACATTGAGCTAACGCTTTCATAGAATTCCCTCACATAACTGCATATCTCGACATAGGAAAATAGCATGAAACATTTCGACGAATTTGGTGAAAAAAATAAATGTAGAATTCGGACATTGTGGTAATGTAATTGCCTGTTACAAAAGTTTATTTTAGATATGACACAGTGATGCAGTATTAACAACTGGATGACGTCTTGAGCATAAATTATTGCTCATAATCACACCAATTTAGTCACACGTTTCCACAATTTGTCTTATATGTGTTTTCTCTTTCTGTTTCTCCAACTTCCTTTCGTTATGTGTTGGCACTTACCATATCTCCGGAGTAGGCTTGCATCGTTCCGATTGCACGCGTGAGGTGTTGAATCGACGAGCAAAGCTGAGGTAATTAACCTCTCCCTCCACCTAACTATATTACTTTCTAGTACTCTCACACTGTCCCACCCTATTTTGTGGTTACATGCAAGTGAAGGCAGTGCAATGGCTGGGATTTTTCCTAGGTTGTTTAACTTAGCAGGGTCAAATTTTCTAGGTCTGGCTGGATTTTTACGTTCCAATAATCTAGTTGCCCCCGACCTACTTGTCTGATCTACGCAATCAACCTCACAGACATTACATGGTATTTGTTTTCTTAGTTGGATCTATTAGGTCCCTAAGCCGACAAAGTTTATCGCTGAGTTTTCCGGTTTAAATGCCATCCTAATTCCAGCTCCATTGAGGATTCCACGTAAGGCTTCTGAAGTTCCCTGTTTATATGGCAGTGCTACAGAGGCCTTGAATTCTATTTTATCTGCGTTATTTTAGTAACTTTTATTGCTAGTCTTAGCTTTATATGGTTCTTCATGTATTTCTGAGTGATTTAATTTGGTTATTTATTTCCTCCGTTTGACTAATTTTTTATTATTTCAAGTGTCCTGCTATTCAGGCGTTTGTCCCGACTGTATATTCATTCAACTACACCTATCTCTATCGATTCAGGATGGGCTGAATTAAAGTCTTCCTACTCATTATAGTGTGTTAGTATCTCACCCATCTTGCTTTCTTTTTATTCTACAGTCTAGTGAGACCAGCCCATTCCGTCGATCTTCCAACTCAGAAGTGAATTAGTTATTCCGTCTACTATTGAGTTTTTATTGTGAGATACTAAGGGATATGTTCAGATTTCAATACGGTGAGTATCCAACCACATTTGTCCATCCTAACCTAGCAGACTGATTAAAGGTTCTAAGAGCCCTATATTTTCAAATATGCATAAATATGTCTGCCACTATTAGGGATATCGCTGATTCCACTGCCACTCCGATCGTTTGTTTATATATTTTATTTTTAAATTTGAATACATTGAAGGTTAGAAACAACTTAACATCTAGTAATATTTCATTAACCTAGAGCTTAGTCCTACTTTTGAATTCAGGATCAATGTTCAATTCATCCCTAACTGTTTCCAGAGCTGTATTATTGGGAATATTATTATTGAGACTGGTTATGTGAAGACTAATCACTTTTTCACCTTTGATTAAAATTCCTCTAATTTCTGTTTCAATAAATAGGAATTAGTTGGCCTAGAATTCGACCTATTTCTAACTAGGCATAATATTAAGGCTATGTACTCAGATAACTCGTACATCGGTGTTCCTAAAGTCAACTGTTGACCTGCTGGGGTATCCTGCTTTATGAAGTTTTAATGGTCTCACACGTTTCACCAGAATTATCATTTTTAGGTATAAGATTAAACCATTTTGACTAACCCAAAGACGACTTCATACGGCGTACTGGATAACTAGCAGATATTTTGATTTTATTCACAGTGGCATCCACAGGTTTCTCCATTTCCTCATATAAGCCTGTTTCAATATGATGACTGACCTTGTCATGTAGTCCCATTTGTCCATGACTACTGTTGTATTACTCTTGCCAGACTTTGCAATCACTTTGTTTTTATCTTTCCCCAAGCTTCTTAGAGTCGCAATTTCCTTTAGTGACAGTTTGCTTCTTCATTTCTTCTGATTTTGTAGTGTCTTAGCATATTGCTCTGTGACTTGTTCCGTAGTAGATCTGTCTATTTCACTTGACGCTACTTCTACACTAGTACCGACATCTTTAGATTTTAATCAGTTAAGAGCTGAATTGAAGTTTCATCCATTTTCACATACTTTTATTTCATCAGAAGTTTGGGGTACTGTTGAAAGGTTAATTACCAACTTTGTTTCATCAACCAGATTATTGGAACGTAAAAATTCAGCCAGACCTAGAAAATTTGACCCTGCTAAGTTAAACAACCTAGGAAAAATCCCAGCCATTGCACTGCATTCACTTGCATGTAACCACAAAATAGGGTGGGACAGTGTGAGAGTACTAGAAAGTAATATAGTTAGGTGGAGGGAGAGGTTAATTACCTCAGCTTTGCTCGTCGATTCAACACCTCACGCGTGCAATCGGAACGATGCAAGCCTACTCCGGAGATATGGTAAGTGCCAACACATAACGAAAGGAAGTTGGAGAAACAGAAAGAGAAAACACATATAAGACAAATTGTGGAAACGTGTGACTAAATTGGTGTGATTATGAGCAATAATTTATGCTCAAGACGTCATCCAGTTGTTAATACTGCATCACTGTGTCATATTTAAAATTAACTTATCTAATGTGGAAGACACAATGAATAATCGTAATGCTTCGAAATCACTGAATCATTGGATAATGTAAGATTTATGTCACAAGAGCTTTCATCCTCTGTAGCATCCCTGCGGGGTTCACTTAATGCTGGCCCTGATGGAACTCAATGGATTCTGCCAAAAAGGGGGTTTGAGAACCTATCCATTGTTTTTTCGAAGGATTTCAATCTCTCTAACTGATGACAGCTGCTTATTGCGCAGGAAACTTTCCCTCGTTTCCCCAGAGCACAAGTTCAAACAAACTTACTGTATCAAAAGCCATCTACTCACCAGTATCAACTCAATAGATTCCTGGGTTATGGAAAAGATTACAGGGTAAGATATAACTTCATACCCTCACCATTAACAAGTGTTTGCTCCAGCAAAACACAACCTATTTAAAAATAGATAACACTAAACCTGTTCACTTGCCCACTTTGATGATATGGGTGCTAGGCGCAGTCGTGGTTTGTTTGTTGCCACCCCCTCTTTGACTTGAGAAATGCCTGAGATAAAGTCATTTGCCAAGGAGTAGTTCTTGAGCTAAAACTTTACGGATTCCGAGACCCGCTGTGTTCCTGGTTCAGTCCCAACTTGAGAGGCAGCCGCCAAATTGTGAAAGTCTCAAATAATTAATTTCTCAACAGGACACAAGCGAGGTGGACTGATTCAAACCTGTGTGCTATAGCCATTGTTTTCCTGATATACATTAACGATGTCCGCAGTGTGACTAAGCATGGCACACCGCAACTCTTCGGTGACGACCTAGAGATTGCCTGCAGCCTCATTTTGGGACGCTCAAAGCAGCCGCGCACGTTCAAGACAACCTAGATATGTTTTATTATTGGAGCAATGTCTGGAAACTCCCACTCAACTCTGAAAGATGCTGCAACAGCTCCCACCTCAACTTCAGGTCACACTTCGACTAGTCTTCTCACAACCCTTTGCTCCAGAAAAGAAGCCTGCGTTGCTTGCGAAACTTGACTTTTACTCAGTAATTAAGTCCCGCTGTCTCTAAATGCTGAAGACTCACACGCTTGTTACTTCAAAAACTGCACAGGACTGAAGCTAACGTTCTTTTATACAAATCCATTACTTGACTAATGTAAAATCACCTTAGGTTTTACGCTCGGATGAGATGGGACTTGCATTGAAAATATCCAAAGGGGCTCTGCATGGTGCTTCTTACACAACCATGAAAAGCTTTCTTCGGGGAACGGGGGCGTAAAATGTGAACTTAAGTCACCCTGATTACAATGCCCGAAACCCAACATGATTTTCTACTTCCATCTTACGCACAGCAACATCAGGAACGAAAGCGCCACAGCTTTCAACTGTGCAGCTACTTATAATTTGCGGAATCGTGCGCAAACCCTATCCACAACCCAATTCGAGAGAAGACTGGGTTCGAGGTCCTA